TAAAGGGTTAGCTATTAAGAATGACCGCAAATGATATGGTAAAGGTATGGAAGAGGCACACACACAATATTTGCTCAAAAACGTTAAGAGAAAGTTAAAGGGAATGTTACATCTTGCTAAACACTTCAGTCATGTTGACTATGTGTGTGAACTTGAATTGGGTCATCACAAATTGCCTCCCAGCTTAAGGGGAAGCATTAGCCATTTTCTCTAAAGAGCCATTTCCATGCCCTGGGGTAAAGCCATGCCCTGGTAAGCATTTCCACTTCACTGGAGCTGCTCTTGTTCCATTAAACATTTCTAAATGGACAAACTCCTGCATCAGTATATTATTATTATTACAATTACATTTGAAACAAACTATGGTTGGCAAATAATAATAGCTTCTCTGGTTTCTGTGTTTTGTCATCATTAGTGTAAATAATTTACATCGACCAATGTCAGTTTCTTACAGCATAAACTGCATGCAACTTGCTACTCTAAAGTTCTGTTATTCTGAGTCATGTAACACCAACTCGACAGGGCTTTTTTAGAGGGTAAAGAATAGACAAGCAACAAGTATATTTTTGGAGAGGGGAATTGGCCTATATTGTACATGAGTGATAGGCTACATTCAGAGTGTACATTCAAACCAACAGAACTGTTGTACAGTTATTAAACATGACTGGAAGAGCTAAAATAATATTATAGTATGTGCCCTGCAGACTTTTCACAATACACAAGGGTTAATGTCGCTATCCATAGCATCATGGTTCTGAAGCATACCTGTCTCAACTTTTAGAGTCGCTGTCCAAAGCCCCGTGGTTCTGAAAACGTTCTACAAGACTTTACACAATACACGAGCGCTAATTTCGCTGTCCATGGCATCGTCGTTCTGAAACTGAAAATCAAGTTGATCAGGTGGGCTACAGCAGGCTATCTTTTGCGTGCTTTCTTGATGCTAGAAAACTAATGAATAGTAACTGACTTCTTTAGTAGTTCTCACGCGCTAATACAACAAGACCAAACCAATTTCACAACTGTGGCCTGTGCCATTGAAAGCATGCAGAAACACGCAAGATGCATATGATTTAGCTAAAAGGATAGCATGACCGAACAACAGGATTCGTATGCCTCCTAGCCTGACTGCGCTAGACCTTTAAAAACACATGATTAACAAGAGGAGGGAAATGCGCTATTAGAAAACCGTGAAAAGCTATGTAGTAACAAAACACTTCTGCAGCATATCGCTGAAGCCATGGGACAAAGTATTTCAAGTGTAACAGTCATTAAAAAGGCATCTCTAGTAGCCGAGCAACTTATTTCACCTACACGTGAAAGAATCCCCCCCTTGCTACCGGCAGAAGGCACTAGAGTTAAAGACACATGCTGGTTTTCAGGCTTTTTGATAGTATCTCGTTCGTAGGCTATAAATAAACTGTCGATAATCTTTCTTTGTGAGTAAAACTTATGATATGATAGTAAGCTGTAAACCCATGCTGCAAATTGAAGCCCTTGCATGTTAAGGATAGTGCTGAAACAAATACTAAGTTACCGTTTAATTGACTATGCAAAAAAAGATTCTGGCATATAATGAGAAAGATTAAAAAAGTACAGCGATACAAGCTAGTTCCACAACAACTACTCTACTGCTACAGTGTGAAATGATGGAGACAGTCACAGACATTAACACTAAACATTTTGAGAAAGCACACAACAAAACATTCTCAACAATAGTAGGCTAAACGACAAGACAGACTGCTGAACCTGACATGTTATTACTCGTCTTGAAGTCAGCCTTGGAGTAAAAAGTCTAAAGCGTGTGTAACTTAACTTCTCCTGTTAGTCACCGGTAGATAACACACAGATACACCACAACAAAAATATTCTAAACACATCTAACCTTCTACTTCATTTTCCATTGGTAGAGTCCCCCTGAAAAGCCTGTTTCCCTTCTCTTTAAGAAAAGCAGATGTCATTCACTGGCATCCTGAACAAAGTCCAAGCATGCTGCATTTCACTCATGTGCACAGTTTCCCAATTCTCACAGTTTCTTGCTATTAAATGACGCTATGAGTAAAACAATATCCTTGGTGTGTGTAGAAGATCAATAGAGCACTCATCAACAATACAACAAAGTGGAAGAGCGACGCGAGGGAAGAGAGAGCGAGCGATAAAGGCCGCTCACTACTCTTTCTATCATAGCCCCCTCCCCTACACTTCTTTCTCTCCTACCCCCTCCTTCCCCTCCTGCGCTTCTCTCTTCTCAGTTCCCCACTAGCCTGCAGTAAAATAAAATACATTGTTGCGAGTAGACGTCGTGGTAAACAGATGCCCTAGTTTTCCCCTCTGGCTGTCGAGCTTTTAAAAGCTCGCGCCCCCTTGGCGCTCTCATTACTATTAATACATTTCGCTTTTACTTTGTAATTTTCAACTGCTGACCAACAACCAAACTGAGGTCTGTAAACGTTTTGTACAAGTCGTTTTTTCTCTCGTTTGATTTGATCTTTTGCAGAAAATATTCGACGGAGCCTGATATGTAGCCTACTTCAGTTCATTGTCACTTAAAGAGGGTAAGCCTTCAAATGAGCCGTTATATCCAGTGGTAAATGTCAGCTCCAGTCTATATCGAAATTATTTATTTGAAGCAAACCGCTTGTTGCTCTGTCTGTCTGCGCTAGTTTACTGTATTTACCTAACACGCCCACAGTGACCCTGCATTATACAGTCCCCTGTTTTTTCATGAGGGTAGGTAGTTTTACTACAGCTCTTTACTTTCAGATTAGATTGAGAACCACCAGGAGCGGTGAGCAGCTCTGTATCGCCTAATTTGGCGCGCCCTTTCTTCCTAACGAACCAGTACCCGGGTAGTGAGCGCCACCGGGACCGTGCAGGACCATGGACAGAGAATTATTAGCGGGTAAAAGGCTGTTCTGCAGCTCCGATACCTCAAGTGTTTTCTGTCCTGACCATGGCTCCGTACCTGCAGTGCTGCAGAGGAAAAGTGCCCCCTCCCCCACTCTGCATTATGACAAATCAAGGCAGGCAGGCAGCTGTCCCATTAGCACATCATAGCACATAGCAGTTTCAGAATACCCTACTGCAAATATTAATAGTAACGTATTGCTATTATTAAAGAATGGGAATGATATTATTAAGGCTATTGAGTGATCAAATTATGGGTCAATACAGGCACACAAATGGATAAGTGTCGAAAATCTGGAGTGGTGTCTTTTCTAGGTGACATTTATCTTTGGTGTAGCACTTGCAGAATTTGATTCATGCTGCATGTAAGGGCGACGTTATACAATGTAACTAACTGCTTCATGCAGTGCATTTGGTGTAATTATCATTTTATTTTAATAGAATAACGTGTGCTGCTGTAAACTGGCTATATATGATATAGCTACTGCACACAACATATAGGCTTATAGTAGTCCATACTTAGTGTTGTTGGAAAATAAATCAATTTCATATGAACTTTCAGGACCTTGGAGAGTACCTGTTATTGTACTGGATGATACTATTGTATCAACTTGTTATTTTTTCACTTGTCACTGAGGTTACTCAATCAGCATGTTAATTATACCAGACACTGCAGTCCTCAGTAAACAGCAGTAAGGTAGTGCACTATGTAGGGAATATGGCGATATTTGGGACGCACCCTATGTCAGCTGCTTTAGGGCTCTGTCCATCTATACTGAACAAAGATATAAACGCAATATGCAACAATTTCAAAGATTTTGCTGCGTTACAGTTCAAATAAGGAAATCAGTCAATTGAAATAAATAAATTAGGCCCTAATCTATGGATTTCACATGGCTGGGCAGGGGCGCAGACATAGGCCCACCCACTTGGGAGCCAGGCTGACCCACTGGGGAGCCAGGCCCAGCCATTAAGAATGAGTTTTCCCCACAAAAGGGCTTTATTACAGACAGAAAAATAAAAATTTGTACACCACATTTGAAAGAAATAAGCTTTTTGTGCGTATGTCAAATTTCTGGGATCTTTTATTTCAGCTCATGAAACATGGGACCAGCACTTTACATGTTGCGTTTATATTTGTGTTCAGTGTAGCAGGATCAACTTGTAAACACCATGTAGTATTTATGAGTGTCATCAGGACAAGTATTAGACAACATAGGCATACATCTGAAAAGCCAGCAGTAAACCTGTCATCTTTGGACATGAACAGAGTGAAAAAAATACATATAGTAAATGCTTACTATACATGGCAAATGCAATGATTCCAAATGAAACCACAAGGCAAAATAACCATAAAAATGCAACCACAAGCCAATACCAATACCAATACCAAGCCAATATCACTGCACTGAGCGGGAGAGGGGAATGGGTTAACAGGTGCTTTCCTTCAGCTCCTTAGCTTAGCCCCTCCTAAACTGGTCCTGTGAATGTGCCAGTGAGACAGAGAGAGAGAGTAGTGTGAGTGTACCATATGAATGAATGGCGGAGGGATACACTGGTTCCACCGTGCCACGCCTGCCCGGGAGCCGGCAACTCCTGATTACTCACTCCCACTCCCTCAAGGGCCGTCTGCAATGCAGCTGTCCCGTCAGCCCTCTCGCCCGCTCCAGTCCTCCCCTCTCCTCGCAATGCCCTACTTTATCCTGTCAACGCACAGTCGTATTGACACTGCAGTAAGTGTGTGACTGTGGAGCTCGGCTCCACACACACACACTGGGAAAGCACACACACATACTGGGAACGCACACACACATACTGGTATACACACCTACTTTTGACTACCAACAAGAACACAGAGATAAGCATCCCTGCAGTGCCTTACTCTATCTCTCCCTACCATTGCAGTCTAAATATACTCATTCACAAGATTTCCTGCTGCAAAGCCCTTGGGTCCTAATCTTCATTGTGCAGCCAATCACAGTTTCCATGCGTGCCCAGCAACATACACTCATGTATGTCATAGAAGTCCAGGATCAACTAAGTTTCTAATGAAGGTGATTCAATACAGCTATTAGATATTGATCCTGACATGTCGATCAGGACACAATAGCATCCTCTGAAAGACACAGCACAAGGACTGGTGCTCTTCATGGTCCTAGTCCAAATCAAACCCATGATTAACTGAGTTCCTACTACAGTTGATTCACTGCAACTATTGATTCTGACATTTCCTGACATTAGAAAACAATAAAAAATAACTGGAGAGAGAGAGAGAGAGAGAGAGAGGCAGAGAAAGAGAAAGGGTCAGAGGCAGATAGATAGAGACTGTCTCTTACCGTCCAGTGAGAGCCAGTCGTGTTGTGAGGAAGGCAGTGAGGGCAGGGCACGGGCCTTGTACTCAAACACCACAGAGTTAGAGATTATCTGGTTACTGGCTGTCACCTGCAGCGTCACCAGCCCAGTGTCATGAGCTGTGGAGAGAGACAGACAGAGGGAGTCCGAGTCAGACGCTTCACTGATAACTGCTACAACTCCAACACTCCTGACCCTAAACCCCTGTAGACCTCCTAGGAACATTATACTCTTCTTCTTAAAACATCTCAGTGGCCAGTGAGACACAATCTCAACTGAGGAACCTTCATGTAATATATGCTGATCTCCAGGAACCAAAAAATAGGCCAAGTCTAAAAGAAAACTACTGATATCCCTGATAAATAGACAGTGTTTTGAGTCAACCCTGGTGGAAGGATATAGAAGGTGTGGCAGGCCAGGCCAGTGAGGCCAGTCTTACCTGGGCAGTAGCAGCGCAGCACCCCGGGCTGGATGAGAGAGGCAGGGACAGCGACCTGGTCAAACAGGCAGCTGTAGTTAGAGCTGGTCTCCTGCCATGGACCAGTGATGAGCACCTTCACTCCTCCCTGGAACAGATAAACACACAGACTCACAGAGCGGGAAATGGATAAACTGAATCTATACTAGATATGAGGGAGCGAGTGTGATTTTGGCTACTATTTAATGTCATGCTGCCATCTAGGGGAGAGCAGTATGAATAACATGAACACAGTGATGTATCCTCAAGCTGCCTGGAATCTAGTGAAAGGGCTGCCGTCTCGTGGGTGAACAGTGTCATTGACATTACACAGACTTGTATTGTCTCTGTGGTATATTTGACTGGGATGCCATCCTGTGGTTGGACAGTGATATTACAGTCATTTTTCTGACTAACCAAAGTGGTCGCCATCTTGTGGTTGAACAGTGTCATTGACGTTACACAGACTTACTCTCTCTGTACATTACATTATTGAGCTGCCAACCAACCGGTGGTTGAACAGTGATATTGCAGTTAATTCAAAATATGTTGATATGTATGTTTGACTAAAATGAAACTATAAAACTATTTAGTAATTAAATTGGAGTATAATGATAGTTAAAGGGGGAGATCATGCACTAAGAGTGTGGTGGAGGCTCACCTCAGGGTAGGACCACTCGGGGGAGTAGTCAGTGACGATGAAGAGTCTCCCAGTGGCCTGCAGCATACCCAGAGCCCCCTGGGCCACGGCTGCACACACAACCTCCGCCACATGCATGTAGGCCAGGGAGCCTGGCTCCACCCCTGCACCCCCAGCCCCGGACCCTCCACCCAGAGACTGGGGGCTGCAGCAGGGCTGGAGACAAAGCTCTGAGGGGCTGTATCCTGCCCCCCGGGCCCCTCCTACCCCTCCGTCCTCCTGGTCCTGCTGGGGAGCTCCGCTAGGCGTGGCCTGGCCGTCTGAGCCGTGGTTGCCCACCAGCTGGTGTGTGTAGAGGGCTCCTCCGGCCGTCATGTTGGCTCCACTACCATCCACAGAGATGAAGTCATTGATAAGGTCAGAGAACTGGTTCCCGAAGGAAATGTCGAAGTGGTCAAGGCTGATTTCCATGCCTCCCCCTCCTGCTACCCCATTGGAGCCCGCTCCGCCCAGGCCCTGGTGGGGGCCCACAGTGTTGTAGAGGCCCTGGACCATCCCAGCCCCCTGGAGGAGGGGCTGCAGCTGCTGCTGCTGGGAGCGGTTGCTGCCGTCATTGTTGACGCCATTTCCGTTGCGCATGGCCACTCCTTCCCCTCCTCCTCCACCTCCCTGACTTCCTCCTCCGTCATTGGCCTGCTGGAGGTAGTGCTCTGCCCCTCCTCCCTCTAGGTTGCCTCCTCCACAGGCCTGGAGGTGATCCCCAGGCTTCAGTAGACCCTCTCCGTTCTCTGTTCCCCCGGCCTGGCCTGAGCTCACGCTGCCTGGCTGCTCCAGACCCACTACCTCCTCATGCTCTGGTCCCAGCCCAGGGAAGCCCCCCTGGTACTGCAGGAGCTGGAGAGACCCAGGCCCCTGCCCTGGCCCCTCGGTGGGGGAGCCCCCATTGCAGTTGGCCCTGTGCTGGCCCTGGTGGCTCTGGTGGTGGTGGTGGAGGTGGCCGTTGCTGCCAGGGGAGTCCGTCTTGACCACCTGCAGGCTCATGTAGGCTGTGGAGTCGTGGGAGTTGTGCTCCATCAGATGAGTCTTCTGGCCCATGGAGGACCTGCCCTGCTGGGCCTGGCCGGCCTGCTGAGTGTCCTGGAGGAAGAAGCTGGGCGAGTGGCTCTGGTGTGAGAGGTGGGGGCTGTTCATAGCCTGGCCATAGCCCACTGACCCAGCCCCGGACGAGTAGTCCTGCTTGGCATCGATGGCGCTGAAGTCCATCTGCTCCAGGGTGGTGCTGGGGCTCAGGCCTCCTCCAGAGGGCAGCAGAGAGCCTGCAGGGGTCAGGCTGAGGGAGCCCTGTGCTGAACCAGCCCCAGAGGAACCAGACACACCTCCTCCACAGCTCACCACCGCCCCCACCTGGTAACCCTGCTCTGTGGCCAGCTGCTGCTCGAAGGACATGTCCTCCGTCTTGATGTTCTTCACCAGAGCAGAGTTGAAGCTGTATCCAGAGTCTGACATGGAGGGAGAGCGCTGCATGCTGCCATTGGTGCCGTTGGAGGAAGAGGAGGAGGAGGAGGAGCTGCCGTCCCCCTTCAGCCTGCTGCCCCCATAGGTTTGGCCCTGCTTGGGGTTGTTGAGGAAGCAGTCAGGGTCGAAGTTCATGGTGGTCTCAGGTATCTTCATGCCTCCGGCATCCAGACTGCTGGACAGGACCAGCTCCTCAGACACCCCGGCTGCAGACAGCATGGACAGCCCGTCTGCTCCCCCCGTCCCTCCGGGAACGTCCCCAGCTCCTCCGCCAGGGAAGGCAAACTTGTGGCTGTCTGCCACCACACCGGACAGCACCAGGCCCTGGGAGGCTGCGTCGGGGCCCATGAGGTGGGCGTTGGGGCCCCCTGTGGGGGACATGCTGTAGACTGGGTCTCCGGTCACCTCGGACATGAAGACACTCTGGGACAGGCCGGACATGACGGAGGCTACGTGGCCCATGCCCGTCACCACAGGACTGTCAGCCATGTCTGGGTCGCTGTTCAGGCCGCTGCTGATGGACACGGGGGAGTTCTGGGTGGTGTCAGGGACCTCCACCTGGTTGGTAGAGGACACCTCTGTGCTGTTCTGGTGCAGGAGAACAGGCTTGTGGACCTTGCCGTTGCGTTTCTCTCTGGCGCTGCCCCCTCCTCCCCCTGAGCTCTTCCCTCCTCCCCCTCCCCCTCCTCCATGGCTGCTGTGCTCGGTCTTGCCCTCGGACACGTCGTTGTTCTGGACCTCAGAGTGACCACTGCTGTAGCCTCCACGGGGGTCCACCTTGGGGGAGATGATGCGGTGTTTGGCGCTGTTGCACTTGTGGTGCACGCTGCTCCCTGCACCTGTTAGAGGGAGGAAGGAGAGGTTACTAAGAGATAGCATTAGATACAGCAGAAGTCATCAATCATCTAGAAAGAATGTAGAATGGTACAGTGAATCTTGGTGACACAAACTAAATCTGAGGGAAGGCTGTGAATGATTTGTTACAACAGCTCATCAGAATGCGGACAATAACAATAAGAATACTGCCTGTGCTTTTGTACCTAAACAAATCACCTGGAAACACATGTAATTATCCAATGAATTGTAATTGAAGTAATTGTTTGATTGTTTGGTGTGCCTTTTGATACTACTTGAACTTTTATCAATCCAAAACAAGAGAGCCATGACCCTGAGACTTTCACATTCACTCTGAGCATGATGTATGAGCTCAACCTCTTCTCCTTCTCCCTGCCTTCTCTCCTTTGACTTCTCCTACCCCTTTCTCTCTCACCCCCTATCCTCCTGCCCCCTATCTACCCCCTATCCCCTCCCCCTTACCCAGGGTGCCCGTGCAGAGGCAGTTGTGGGTCCGGGGAGGTGGCTTGGTTTGGTGGCTGTCCAGAATCTGCTGCACCAGCTGCTCCACTGAGAAGCCAGAGCTGCTGTTCCCGTTGCTACAAGTCCACTTGATGCCATGAACTGCCGGGAGAGAGGAGGAGACACAGACGTCAGCCAGACAGCCACTACCACCAGCCAGCCACGCCAGCCCCCCTCCCCACCACCACCATCTTCACTGCATTCCACCACACTGTACACTACTATATTTAATACAGCCCCTCACCACCAACCATGCCAGCCCACTCCCCATCACCACCACACACTGTACACTACTAACCCACCCATACATCCAATTACTGCTTCCTCTGTCAACCCAAACATCTCCTTACTACACTGTACATTAATGACTCACCCATTCACCGTACTGAATCCTATCACTTCTACACCCCTTACTTGCACCCTGTAACATACCATCCCCACCTATCCCACTTCACACCACAGTGTGCTTGGGCAACGCCGAATTACTGAGCAATGTCTTATCTCTTTCCCTGCGTTGCCCCACCTACTGTACTGTACAACACTACTTCCTGAAGTAGCCAAGCACAGAAGCAGCATGGAGTAAACCTGCTGGCTTTTCTGTGTCATTGTATTTCCCTCTGCTCCTGCTCTGAGTGCTTATGAAGGTGACATTCCCCCCAGTGCTGCCTCTACCTCTGCCTCTGCTCGGGCTGTGATGGGGAAACCACTAGAGGGGAACACAGTCTAGCTGCCCTGCTAGCTGCAGCCAAGGAAGGAGAGAGAAGAGAGTAATTCTCCTTCACAACTCCACTCCTGCCTGCCTGCCTGGCTGGCTGCCTTTCTGGTAGCTTTTCTGGATGGCCTGCTCCAGTCACACTTCGCTGGCACCTCCTAATAGCTCTCACTGCTTCCCTAGCTCAGGCTTGGCAGAAGACTCCTCTTCTCATCAGGATGATAGTGATGCTGCTAACACAAGCATAAGGTCTATAATATCACAGTTACTGCTGCTACTGCTGCTGCTGCCACTCCACCCGCTCTCAACCAGAAAACAAAAAATATGGTAATACTTCTGAAGTGGAGCACATTTAGAATATCAAACAAAATCAAGGCAGCTCTAATATGGGTTCCCACGCCTGGCTACCTGCCTCAGTTAAATAGGCAGAAGAGAGGGAGGGAGAGAGTTAGTAAATGTGTGTGTGTGTGTGAGAGAGAGAGAGAGAGAGAGAGAGAGAGAGAGAGAGAGAGAGAGAGAGAAATTAGAACGCTGCTCCAGACAGAGACAAGCAGAAGGCTAATCAGGGTGCTTTCACTTCAATGCTAACGAATCACTCCTCCATTGATCTTGTTTAAGGACAATACAATTATCCTACCTAGCCTACAACATCACAATGCAATGAATAATTGCATTATTGTTTTCAAGTGTGTACAAAATTATACTCTAGGCTGCAGTGAAAATGTCATTCGAATAACGGCCAAAATACCTGTAATTTGAATGTTTAATTCCATTTGGATTAGTTAGCAGGCCAGTCTGGCTGTATTTTTACTTCTGATACTGAGATGCGCCGTCTGTTGCAAATCATCATTCTCCCAAGTCGTCCTATAATAATGTGACCACATATGCTCCCGGCAGGCCCAGTTATTCAGGAAAGTTTAACATGCGCTCTGCCTCTTCAACAATCCGAGCGGCTATTCTTCGCGCATCTAGAACCTAACTCATCAATATAGGCTAAATATTTATCATTTAACTTTTAAAATGTATTACCTTTTATATATGGCACACAACCAGTCACAATGTTTTAATCTGATTAGGCTACTTCAAAAGTATCCTGTAGGCATGCGTTCCTCCAAAACAAAATGGCTTGACAATAACTAGGTTTCCATCCAAAAATGTTAGGCGAGTAAAATGCATATCAGATAAAAAATGTAATGACAGGCCTGATGGAAAGAGAACATTTTTCGGTAAACTTTACAAACGTTGACAAAACAAAATACGCTAGACAAGGTGGGATCTTTTTGTGTCGGTAAAATGAATTATGCGAGAAATGTCGGTGGAAACTCTTTTATGTGCAAATATTTATATAATAACCATAATATTGAAGTAAACTTGGGAGTCGCGATTACATGTTGTGTGGTCCTCCCACGACTTGTCGGGAAAGCATGCAGTTTATTAGGCTACAGATGAAATATGTTATGAACTTCACAGGATGGTAAAAGTGCAAGGTGATGAGCTTGATGCTCCATTCCGATAAGTATCGAGGGTCTTATTCTGGTGACATGATCATCGATGCTTGTCTGCCGTTTGACAATTAAAATAATCTCGCTTTTTTGTCCATATTAATCTCATCATGTAGGCTATACGTGTGCTCTAGCTGTCACGAATTCTGCCGAGGCTGCTCCTCCTCCTTGCTCGGGCAGGCTTCGGCGTTCGTCGTCCCCGGAGTACTAGCTACTGCCGATCGAAGTTTCGGTGTTTGTCTTGTTTTGTCTTGAGTAGTTACACCTGTTGTCTATTATGTTTGATTGTATATCCTATAATTACCCTTGTCTCACGTTTGGTATTTGTGTGTTATTGTTTTGTGTCTAGGCGGTATCGGCATTGCTGTATTTCATATTACGTGTATGGTGTTTTTCCCTCCTGGTTCTGAGGTTTTGTTTTGTTCTTTACTATTAGTAAAGTAAGTCTGCTAGTATCTCTGTGTCCTGCGCTTGACTTCACTCGCCGCATACACATCGAACCTGACAGAATAACACACCTCACCATGGAGTCAGCAGGATCAGCGGTGCCAACGGAATCATTGGAGGAGCGTGTAAGCAACCAAGACGCCATGATCCAGAAACTGGGCACCACCATGCAATATGTTATGAACACCTTGAGCCGATGGGAGAGAGGAGGTTTGCCCACACCTACTCCAACAATACCACCACCCTCAGCCATACCCATCGTTCCATCTCCGGAGTCCAGTGGGATTCGGCTCTCGCTCCCGAGGGCTTATGATGGCACCGCGGCCGGGTGTCAGGATTTCCTGCTCCAAGTAGAACTCTACCTGGCAACCATTCACCCGGCGCCCTCGGGATACGAGAGCGTTTCCGCCCTCATCTCCTGTCTGTCCGGCAAGGCACTGGAGTGGGCCAACGCCGAGTGGAGGGGAATAGACGCCGCTACAGTCAGTTATGCGGAGTTCTCCCGCCGCTTCAGGGCGGTTTTCGATCATCCCCCTAAGGGGAAAGCGGTGGGGGAGCGTCTGTTCCACCTCAGACAGGGGAAGAGGAGCGCGCAGGAATTCGCACTGGATTTCCGGACTCTGGAGGCAAATGTGGGATGGAATGAGAGGGAACTCATCGACCACTATAGGTGCAGCCTACGGGAGGACGTTCGCCGAGAGTTGGCCTGCGGGGACACCAACCTAAGTTTCGATCAGCTGGTGGACATGTTGATTCGTCTGGATACCCTGTTGGCTACCCGCGGACGTCTGGAGCTGGGGCCGTCCATTCCATCCCCCAGCACCTCAGAGCCGAGCCCTATGGAGCTCGGGGGTGCTAGAGAGAGGAGGAGAGAGACCAGGAGAGAGGCCGTCCCCTGCACCAACTGTGGCCGCAGAGGACACACTGCGGTTCGGTGCTGGGGAGGGTCTCCTAGGGATCGAGGCAGCATGCCACGCACTGATGAGTCATTCCAGGTGAGTAAGCGCCCAACTCACCCAGAGCTCTCTGTTGTCCACATGTGTATCCAAGTTGTGTTTCCCGAGGTTTCTTCTCACTCCCAGCATAAGGCGCTAGTAGATTCAGGCGCAGCTGGGAATTTTATTGATCACAGTTTCTGTTATAAGTTAGGGATTCCCCTCATCCCAGTTGATGTGCCCTTCCCTATCCATGCCCTAGATAGCCGCCCTTTGGGGTCAGGATTGATTAGGGAGGTCACAGCGCCACTTAAGATGAAGACGCAGGGGGGTCATGAGGAGATTATACAGTTGTATTTGACTCTCCTGCGTTTCCCGTGGTGTTGGGGCTTCCCTGGTTAATATCTCATGACCCCAACATTTCATGGCAACAGAGGGCTCTCAGGGAATGGTCTGATCAGTGTGTCGGGCGGTGTATAGGTGTTTCCGTAGGGGCAACAACGGTGGAAAGTCCGAACCAAATGCCCGCACTGCACATTCCTCCTGAGTATACAGATTTGGCACTCGTCTTCAGTAAGAAGAGGGCGACTCAATTACCACCTCATAGACAGGGGGATTGTGCGATAGACCTCCAGGCTGGCGCTGCACTACCGCGTAGTCATGTGTATCCTCTGTCTCAAGAGGAGACGGCGGCTATGGAGACATACGTCACCGAAACTCTGGGACAGGGATACATACGGCCATCCACTTCTCCTGCGTCCTCAAGTTTCTTTTTTGTGAAGAAGAAGGATGGGGGTTTGCACCCGTGTATTGATTACCGTGGTCTCAATCAGATGACCATTAAATACAGTTATCCTCTCCCTCTGATTGCGAGTATGACGGAGTCATTACACGGGGCGCGATTTTTCACAAAATTGGATCTCAGGAGTGCTTACAACCTGGTGCGCATTAGGGAGGGAGATGAATGGAAAACAGCATTTAGTACCACCTCGGGTCACTGAGTATCTCGTCATGCCCTACGGGTTAATGAATGCTCCTTCAGTCTTCCAATCATTTGTGGATGAGATTTTCCGGGATTTGCATGGACAGGGTGTAGTGGTGTATATTGATGACATTCTAATATACTCCGCTACACGAGCCGAGCATGTGTCCCTGGTGCGTCGGGTGTTGGGTAGGCTGTTGGAGCATGACTTGTATGTGAAGGCGGAGGAATGCCTGTTTTTCCAGGAGTCCATCTCCTTCCTGGGACATCGGTTGTCCGCGTCATGGGTGGAGATGGAGATTGACCGCGTTTCAGCCGTGCGTAATTGGCAGACTCCCACCACGGTTAAGGAGGTGCAGCGGTTTTTGGGTTTTGCCAATTACTACCGGAGGTTTATCCGGGGTTTTGGACAGGTAGCAGCTCCCATCACCTCCCTGCTAAAGGGGGGCCCGGTGCGTTTGCAGTGGTCGGCTGAGGCGGACAGGGCGTTTAGACATCTGAAGGACCTGTTCACCTCGGTTCCGGTGCTGGCACATCCGGACCCCTCTTTGGCATTCCAAGTGGAGGTGGATGCGTCCGAGGCGGGGATTGGTGCTGTACTGTCTCAACGCTCGGGCACGCCTCCTAAACTCCGTCCCTGTGCCTTTTTATTCTAAGAAGCTCAGTCCGGCGGAACGAAATTATGACGTGGGGGACAGGGAGCTGCTAGCGGTGGTTCAAGCCCTAAAGGTGTGGAGGCATTGGCTTGAGGGGGCTAAACACCCTTTCCTCATTCTGACTGACCATCGTAACCTGGAGT